GCTGAGCCCCGGCCCCGCCTTCCTAGTAGTGCTTTCTCTAGTCTCATTTTCCTTCTAAGGACCAGCCTCTCCCACTTCAGACAAGCCCCCCATAGGGCCTTCCCACACAGCAGTGGTTTCCACACGGAAGGATACCCATACCCCACTCACCCTTCTCTGATGTGTTGGGAGACCGGTCAGTGGGCAAGATGGGTTTTGTTGCTACGACTGAGGGCCCATGCTGTGAATAGGTATGTCAGGGGGTGATAGAATAGCCCAGATGGAGTCTAACCTGCAGCTGAGACATGGTGGGTGGGCGGAGCTAACACCTGTACTTCAGCTCTCCTGAACCCTGGCATCAGCATGGCCCTGTGGTCAGGACAGGACACAGTTGACTCAACAGTGACCAAGCAAATAGTTTAACAGTGGGATTGATTGTATGGACAGAACCTAGCTATGCGTTGGCTTATTTGAAAGGCCACTGCCCCACGGAAGGAAGTAAAAAAAAAAACAAAACCCGTTGCCATCAAGTAAATTCTGACTCATAGCGACCCTACAGGACAGAGTAGAACTGCCCTATAGGGTTTCCGAGGCTATAATCTTTACAGAAGCAGACTGCCACATCTTTTTCCTGCACAGCAGCTGGTAGGTTCAAACTGCCTGTCTTTCAGTTAGCAGCTGCGTGCTTAACCACTGCGCCACCAGGGCTCCTTGGGATGAAATAGCACCTAGTCATTTCCTTCCAAACGGACCTGGGCCCATCCCAGAGGTGGAGGAGGAAAGGAGAGGGGGATAGGCATAATTGAAATGATGTAACAGGCTCATTGCTCGGCTCTGGGACCACATGAATCCAGAGAATTCAGACCCCTGCTACCCCACCAAGCCCCCAGCCCCACTGCCAACCTCATGTGCTCCCCGGCGTCTCCCCTTGGTGGGGGATCTCCTGAAACTGGGCCAGGGTGCTGGCATCCGCTTGGCCTTCCTGGCAGCCCAGCCTGGGCAGGCTTCAAAGGCAGCCACCGCAGCCTTCACTCTCTGGCCACGGGCACTGGGGGGCGCCACGCAGGTGGCCCCCACTCGCAGGTTCAGCCCAGTGAGCCACCTGAGGAGGAAAGAGAGCTGGGGACCCACTGTGCCCACTGGCTGAGAGCTTTCCTGGGGGCAGTGTGGCCAGTGGGTGAGAGCAGAATCTGGGGAGAATCCTGCCTCTGCTGCTCGCCAATCACGTGACCTTGATGGTAATAGTAATGATAACAATAATAGTAATAATCAGCTCCAGAGTGCTTATGACGGACCTAGCACTGTTCAAATCCATTTATATATGCTAACTAAATTTCCACCACCTGTCTATTTGTTATACTGTGGTGGCTTGTCTGTTGCTAGGATGCTGGAAGCTATGGCACTGGTATTTCAAATACCAGCGGGGTCACCCATGGTGGACAGGTTTCAGCGGAGCTTCCAGACTAAGACAGACTAGGAAGAACTGGTGATCTGCTTCTGAAAATTAGACAACGAAAACCTTATGGATCACAAGAATATTGTCTAATCTAATGCTGGCTGATGAGCCCCCTAGGTTGGAAGGCATTCATAATACACAGTGGCCACAACAATGGACTCAAACATACCAACAATGGTGAAGACGGAGCGGGGCTGGGCAATGCTTCATTCTAGTGTACATGGGGTCACCATGAGTCAGAGCCAACTCTATGACAACTAACAACAACTTAGTTTAATTCCTACAGCCACCATCATGAGGTAGATACCATAATCATCCCCCTTTTCGCAGATGAGGAAACGGGCAGAGACGTCAGGTGGCTTGCCCAAAGTCAGCTGCCATTAAATACAGAGCGGGGATCTGAGCCCAGGGTGGCCTGACTGGGGGTCTTGTTGCTCAGTGGATGAAAGTGACGTAGAGTGCCTGCTATACTAGGTGAACACTAGTCTCCCCCTACTGGGCAGGGCAGGTATCATTCCCACTTTACAGATACGGGAATCGAGGCTCAGAGAAGGGCAGCTGACCGCTAGCTCTGGTAGCATCCCCGTTCCCTAGCTGCTGGGCCAGGCGGCAGACAGGTGCCCCAGGGAGCTGGTGGAGGCGTGACTGAGAGCAATAGGTGGGGGGAGGGGGGTGAAGTTCTCTGGGCTGGGGGTCCAGCTCGGGGGCGCCCACCTGTGCAGCGGGAGCAGCTGGCAGTTGCAGTGGAAGGGGTTGCCGCTGAGGTCGATGAGCTCCAGCCGCATGAGCGTGGGCAGGGCAGGCAGGGTCTGCAGCTGGTTCTCCTGCAGGTGCAGGCTCTGGAGCCCGTGCCCCAGGCCCTCAAAGGCCCTGGGAGAAACCTGCAGGAAGCATATTCCACAGCCTTGGTAGGAGATCCCACCAGGCTGGCCCTACCCCATGCTCCCCGAGCCGAGGGGCAGCTGAAGAGCCCAAGGTGGCCCAGGGAGGCTGGGGCAGCACTGAGGTCAGAACCCAGGTTGGTCTGATGCCAGAGTCACCTGGACACCCAGTTTAGAGCTCTTTCTGCTCTGCCGAAACTTGTCTCTTCCCCCATAGTGCAAAGCTCGTTGGGGGCTCCAGCCCTGCCCTCAATGTGTACAAACAGCAGCAACCCCATGGACCCAAGTTCCCCCCAACCATTCCCAGCAGACCTCTCCCCACAAGCCAGACCTCTCGCCGTGTGGCACTGGGTTCAGCTGGGTCTATCGCCCCCCCTTGAGCTCCCTGCGGGCAGGGGCAGGTCTGGCTTATCTCAGGGTCCCCATGCCCAGCACTGGGCCTGGCACTGAGGGGGCAGCAAGTATCTGTCAAGTGAATGTCCCTGCGTGTGGCCTCGTGCCCCCCACCTGCTCCAGGCTGCTGCTGTTCAGGAAGAGTTGCTGCAGGGACCGGGCCACAGGACGGAAGGCCCCGTCGTGCAGGGCCCTGAGCGGGTTCCCTGAGAGCTGCAGCTCCACCAGGGCGGGCAGCCCCTCCAAGGCCCTGGTGGGCACCTCTCGCAGCTGGTTCCTGTCCAGGTACAGCTTCTCCAACTCCAGAGCTGGGCCCAGCGCCCCCGGAGACACTTGGGTGATGCGGTTCCCACTCAGGTAGAGCCAGCGCAGGGCCCGTGCCCCCAACAGGTCCCCAGGCGCCAGGCATTCCACAGTGTTGTCCTGTAGGTGCAGGGAGAAGAGGCTGGGCAGGGCGTGCAGGGCGGCCCCCGGTACCTCCAGAAAGCGGTTGCGCTCCAGGTACAGGTACCCAAGGAGGGGAGCCCCTTCAAGAGCAGCTGCGCTGAGGCCCGAGAGCTGGTTGTCAGAGAGGTAGAGGTAGACCAGGCGGCCCAGCCCCGCCAAGGCACCTGCCTCCAGTTTGGCAATGTGGCAGTGCTGTAGGTACAGGGACACCAGGTGGCCCAGGCCAAGGAAGGCCGCTCGGGGGACCGAGGGGAAGTGGTTCCTCCGCAGGTCCAGGAGCTGGGTGTTGTTGGGGAAACCAATGGGCACAGCCCGCAGGCCGTGGCCCTCACAGCTGCTGTGCCGGGATTCAGAGGCGCAGGTGCAGGGGCGTGGGCAGGGCTGGGCCACTCCCTCGTTCTCCTGGGGGGCACGTGTTGGGGCGTGGGGCCGGGCGGCCAGCAGCTCCTCCTCCTCCTCCTCCATGCTGTTTCCCAGGCAGCGCAGGACCGAGGGCCACAAGGCATCCAGGGCCTCCCCGCGCAGCCGCCGGGGTCCCCTGCACGCGCCGTCTGCCTGCACGTGCGCCCGTGCCAGCCACTCAAGCAGTGGCTGGGCCTGGCAGCCGCACCACAGCGGGTTCCCCTGCAGCTGCAGCCAACGCAGCTGGCCTGGGCCCTGCAGGGGGGGCAGCATGTCCAGCTGGTTCCCGCGGAGGTCCAAGGTGTGCAGGCGTGGGCAGTGGGCAAAAGCTCTTGGGCCCAGGGCCTGCAGTGCCCCATGGTCCAGCAGCAGCTCCCGCAGGCTGGGCAGCACCAGCTCGTCCTCCTCACCCACGTAGGTGAGTGGGTTGTGGCCCATTTCCAGTCGCACCAGGCCCTGAGCCTGGGATAGGGCCAGTCCAGGCAGGGCCTGTAGCTCGTTGTGGTGCAAGCTGAGCCGACGCAGAGCGGGCAGGCCGGCCAGGGCCTCAGGGGCCAGCACGCTGAGCCTGTTGTGGGACAGTTGCAGCCAGCGGACTCGCAGCAGCCCCTGGAAGACCATGGCCGGCAGGTAGACCAGGGCGTTGTGGGCCAGGTTCAATGTGGCCAGTGTACCCAGGGCCCCAAACGTCCCTGACCGCAGCTCTTCCAGCAGGTTTCCCTCTAGCTCCAGCCGCTGCAGCGAGCCCAGCCCATCCAGCGCTTCCTGAGGCAGTGTTCTCAGGCGGTTAGAGGCCAGGTTGAGGAGGAGCAGGCGGCCCAGGCCACGGAAGGCACCCTCGGCCACCAGCTCCACCTGACATCGCCGCAGGTCCAGATGTGTCAGGTAGGGGAGGGCCTGGAAGGCAGCTGGGGGGATCACCTTCAGCATGTTGCCTTGGAGGTCCAGCCGCTGGGTCAGCTGAGGGGTGAGGAGGGGCAAGGGGGTGCTGGGCGGCACAAGGACCACACCTGGCCCCCTCGCTAACCCCAGGCCTTTGCACACACTGTTCCCTCACCTGGAAGACTCCCCTCCCCTCCCCTTTTGCTCATTTATCCTGCTGATCTCAGCTTCCCTAACACCTCCTCCAGGAAGCCTTCCTCCCCAGCCACCTGGGCCTCCCCGCTGCAATGCTTTGCACACGGATTGTCAATGCCTGGTTACCTTCTCTGTCCCCACAAGCCCATGACTCCAGAGACCATTCCTTACCCTGATATATCCCCTGTTCCCTGCCACAGGGCCTGTAATTAATTCAGTATCTACCTGTTCCTGTCACACAGTAAGGATTTTGAATAGATCATCTCCCTGTTATTGGTTATTATTGTTACCCATTTTACAGATGTGAACACTGGGGCTCAGAGAGGTGAAGTGATTAGACAAAGTCTCCCAGCCACTAGTGCCTAGCCCAGGCTCCTGCCACTGCCCCCTCACTGCTGTCCCCAGCCCATGCTCCCTGCCCTGCTCACCTCGGGGATAGCGTCCGGCACCTCAGTGAGGTTCTGATGCCGGCAGGCAACATGTCGCCTGGAGTTGTCACAGATACAGATCTGTGGGCAGCGCTGGGCGGCTGTGCACCAAGCTGGGCCCAGCAGCAGCAGCAGTGGAAGCAGCAGCACCAAGGAGAAACGGGTGGAGGTCTGGGGCCTGGGAGAAGGAGGAAGGGTCGGTTGTACACAGAGATGGGGTCCCATGCCCTCCATTCACGGAGCCACAGCCACAGTGCCACTCCTGTCCCCAGAGTCCCTCAGACACCTTCCTCATTTGGCTGGGGAAGGCCTGTCACCCGCCCCTAAGCGGTGGAGTTCTATTATTAGCCTTATTTTACCCTTGAGGAAACCGAGGCTCAGACAGGCCACCGGCGAGCCCTTTGACTATCTGCCAAGTGGCTCAGTGAGGATTTGCTGAATGCGGGAATGCTGCTGGGGCTCAGGGCATGTGCCACGGCTGTGGTAAGGCTTCTGGTCCAGGGGTAGGCCTGGCCCCCCAGCGTGAGGTTGGTTGCAGAGAAGCAGCCATCCCCAGACAGATGCGGCCCTGGCTCCCTGGAAGCAGGGAGCATGATGGCACCCACCTCAAGGAGACAGCCTGGCAGTGGGAAAGAAGGGCCCAGGCCCAGAGTTGCAAGACAAGCCTGGGGGGCGTGGGGGCACAGGTGTTGTGGGGCCTGAAGTCCTTGAACAAGCCTTCATGACTGGTCAGAGCCACACTGACAGGGTGACCAGGGTGGCTCAGGCCTCTTTTCTCCTCTGTGTTTATTTCTCTGTGTTCTCCCCTTATCTTAGTACCATCCAGCTGGCCTGGACTGGGACAAGGGGAACTGAGGGAAAGGGTTGGGGCTGCGCTTTGGACTAATCCATCCACCTATCCAAACACCCATCCATCTGTCCATCCATCCATCTGTCCATCCATCCATCCATCCATCCATCCATCCATCCATCCATCCATCCATCCATCCACCCATCCAACCTTTCATCCAATCATCCATCCATCCACCCACACACCCATCCACCCACCCATCCATCCCCTACTGGACCCTTCCGTCTCACGACTACAGCCACTGCCCATCACTTCTTACAGGGTGACCACTGCCACCGTGGTTCTCCTGGCCTCCCCTATGCTCCACTTACCACCCATCAGCCAAAGGGACCTTTCCAAACTACAGATGGGACCATGGCAACCCCAATTAAAAATCCTCCAGCTTCTCCGCACTGCCTTTGGTGGAAAGTCTTGACTCCTTTATCTCCCGGCTGGAAATCTTCACCATGCACACAGCTTTGTCAGAACTCCCTCCTCGCTCACTGCCTGTGTTACCTCACTCTAGCTCTTCCCTCTGTTCCCAGAAAGGTCTCTGAGTAGCCCTTTCTGATCCTGGGTTGGGCTCCCACCCCTTAAACCTTCCCTATCTCCGCTCACTTGATTGTCACTGTCTGTTTTTGAGTGTCCTGTGGGCCTCAGGGTCCCCTGCCTTGGGCTAGTGGCCTTCTCCAGAGCCTGTGGTGAAGGCTGAGGCTCAGAGCAGCCAGCAAGGGGGCCCGTGGAGATAGATCCCTGAAGGGACAGCGTCAAGGGCTCAGATAGCTGCTGAGCTCTCAGAAAAGCCCCTGAAGGACTGGTCCATGGGAGCCCAGAGGAGCCCTGGGGAGACCTAGGAGGAGCACAGGCCCAGACAGGGCCCAGAGCCCCAGTCCCCCAGCCTCTCAGAGGCCCAGCGAGGGGTAGGGGCTCGCCTTGGCCACTTAGCTACTCTCGGCACCCCTTCCACCCCCAGGCCCCCAAGACTCACCCGTCCATGCCGCTGGCCTGCCAGCCTAGCTTGAGACGCAGCACAAGGGAAAGGTTGGCAGTGGTCCCAACTGGGGGCCTCCAGAGCCCCCCTCCCTAGCCCACAGGCCTGGCAGTGGGGACAGGGCTGAATGGAAGGCATTGTCACAGCTGGGGCTTCCTGAGACTGAGGTGAAGGAAGGGCGGGGAGCGGGTGGGAGCAGCGGCTGGAGTTCCAGGCCTCCTGCCCAGTGCCTGCTCAGGAAGGAGGCCCAGGCCTGAGGTCCTGGCCCAGGCAGCGAGAGTCCCTGGCTGGCCTGCAGGGAGGGGCCCCTAAGTGCTCGCCTGTGGTCAGCTGACCTGGGCACCCTCCCAGACTCTGTGTGGCCCTAGGCAGCAGCTGCCCCTCACCCAGCCTTGATATCCTGTTGTTAGGTGCCTTCGACTTGTTTTCAACTCAGAGACCCCATGTAACTGAGTAGAAGTGCCCCATAGTTTTCTAGGCTATAATCTTTATGGGAGCAGATTGCCAGGTTTTTCTCCCTCGGAGCCACTGAGTAGGTTTGAACTGCCAAGCTTTCCGTCAGCAGCCTAGTGCTTAACACCATAATGCCTTCCACCACTAGGGCTGATAATAGTAACTAGATGAAGGTGGGCACCTGGCACATAATAGGTGCTCTGGAACAGTTAACCCGTTCCTTTCTGTTTTTGCTTATGAAACTACATTTACAAGTCACAACAATGGACTCAAACATACCAGCAATCGTGGAGATGGAGCAGGACCCAGCAATATTTTCTGTTATACGTAAGATCGCCATGAGTCAGATCTGACTCAACAGCAAGTAACAACACAAATCTTCATACACTGTTTAACACCACCCTGGTGGCGCAGTGGTTAAAGTGCTCGGCTGTTTGAACCCACCAACCACTCTGCAGGAGAAAGATGTGGCAGTCTGCTTCTGTAAAGATTTATAGCCTTGGAAACCGTATGGGGCAGTTCTACTCTGTCCTGTAGGGTCACTATGAGCCGGAATCAACTAAACGGCAGTGGGTTTGACTTAGTTTTTTATGTTTTCTGCAAATTTACTTTTTTCACTCAACATCAGATTACAGTTGTGGATACCAAAGTCTGGGGATGCTCATTCCCTTATATAAAATGGTGTAGTATCTGCATATAAAGCTAGAGCTAGGGGCAGGGACTGTGAGGTGCCCACTGCACGTGTGCGCTCCGTCTGGCATTCTGCTTTCCACCCCGGTGGGGATGGGGGGAGCGGAGGACTTTGTTTTTCCGGGCCGCACCCTTCCCACGCAAGGAAGTGGCAGGACCCTCTGGGCAGCCCGCTGGCCATGGTGCTCACCGAGGGCCACCCGGCCTGGAAGGCCAGGGGCTGATCCGCAGAGCGGAGTTGGTGTTTAGAACACAGGCGACACTTTCTTAATTTCTTCTTTGTTAATGGAACTTTCTGGAATTTTTTTCCAAATATTTTCAGTCAGTGGTAGACTGTTTTGCATATGTGGAACCTGTGGATATGGAGGGCTGACTGTATTGGGATTTGTCCAAGTCGGTTCACGTCAGTCATTTATTTTTTACTGGTATAGTATTCTATTGAATAAATGTTTCAAATTCATTCATTAATTTTGACATTTCTGTTGCTTCCCATTTTTTGTCATTATAAACAATGTTGCAAAGAATATCCAAGTATGTATCTTCCTGGGCACATTTAAAAAAAAAAAGATTTCATATAAATGGAATCTTATGTGATTTTTTTGTGACTGGTTTCTTTCACTTAGGATAGTGTTTTCAAGGTTCATCCATGTTGTAGTATGTATGAGTACTTCATTCTTTTTGATTGCTAAATCATATTCCATTATAATAATACCCCATAATTTGTTTTTCCATTGTCCTGTTGATGGACATTTGTTTTTTTTCCTACTTTTTGGAAAAGTTGAATAATGCTATTGTGGGCAGTTTCTTATAATAAAATTTACACAGTACCCCAATCTATGGCCCAGCAATTCTGCTCCTAGATATTTACCAAAGAGAAATGAAAACATGTCCACATATCTGTTAGAATGTTCATAGCAGCTCTCTTTTTGCACACGTGCAACAGTTTCTCTGAAGTAGATGCTAAGAAATGGAATTTGGGATCACAGGTGATGTGCATTTTCAGCTTTTTTAGTATTTGTCAAATTGCTCTCTAAAGCATTAGTTTGACACTTAGTTTTGACACAGCAACGTCTAAAATGTGTAACAGATTCATCTCTTCCACAGTGTTACCTCTCTTAATGATTTGTGCCAGTCTGGTTTGAAGTGGTATCTCTGTGTCATTTTCTTTTGCATTTCCTTAATTACCAGTGTATTGGCTTTTCAGCTTTTCTGTGAATTGCCTGTTCATATCCTTTGCTCAATTTTCAACTGTGTTTTTTGTGACTGATAATCCTTGATTTTATGGTATATATGTTGCAATGTCTTTTTCTAGTCTATCACCTTGTCTTTTAACTTTTATGGGTTTTGGGTTGGGTTTTTTTTTTCTTTGCATTGTTTTTCCTTTTCCATTTTGAAATAGTCAAATTTCCTTTATGATTTGTGCTTTTCGTGTAAAAAAAAATGCTCTGTTTTATTTCCTCTTTTTAAAATATGGATCTTAGGTGCACAGGAACCCTGGTGGCGTAGTGGTTAAGAGCTCAGCTGCTAACCAAAAGGTCAGCAGTTCAAATCCACCAGGCGCTCCTTGGAAACCATATGGGGCAGTTCTACTCTGTCCTATAGGGTCACTATGAGTCGGAATTGACTCGACAGCAGCGGGTTTTTTTTGTTTTGTTTTGTTTATTTTGTTTTTTTAGGTACACAGACTTGGATCACTCCCAGCCTTTGTTCCCGACACCATCATAACTGGTCCCGGCACAAACCCTCTACAAGTCCTGTCCTGTCCCTTGCCTCCCACAGACCAACTCCATCCTGAATTCTGGGTTTATCATTCTTTTTATTGATGATATCATTATCACATACCTATGTATGCCTAAGCTTAGGTTTAGTTTGTTTTTGAATTAAGGTATCATACTGAGATTTTCTTCACTCAACATGTTAAGCATGTAGTGTAGTAATGGATTTTTTTTTAGAGAATATTTTGTTTTTGGCAAAAAGTTTACATAGTTTAAGTTAGGTTCCCATTTAACAATTTCCACATGAATTGATCAATGACATTAGTTTAATTTTCCACATGTCAACATTCTCTTTGTGTTCTGGTTGTTCCATTTCCAGTACTCTAGTTTCCCTCTCTCCTTATCTTTGCTTTGGATTAAATGTTGACCTTTTTGATTTATGCAGATGGCTTTTTAGTTGACCACCAATCTAAATATCCTTTATCTTGCGTCACTCTACTTTTCTGCTAAAAGGTGATCTCAGGGCATAGTTTTGGTTCCAGGTTTACAGAGCGTCTTAGGGCGATAGTCTCAGGGAGCCCTCTGGTCTCAGGTAGCCTTTTTAGTTATTTTCACTGTTGTATAATGTTACATCATGTATCCATTTTACATGTATCCATTTTCCCTATGTTTGCCTTCTGAGTTGTTTCTAGGTTTCTTTCTATCTTGAACAGTTCTGCTAGGCGCACCCAACCAGGCTTCCTGGTGTTTGTCTAGTCTAGGGTACATGCCTAGGAATGGAACTACTGGATTTTAGCCCTTTGAGTCCGTGGCTTGAACCCTTTAGGGGGTCCAGCCCTGTTCCAAGCTCAGGCATCTATGATCTTTGCAGCCCAGAATCATGGTCCCAAGGACCTGCAGCATGTATAATCTTAGGGTGGCTGTATCATTCTTGGGGAGCACTTAAGAGCCCTAGGGAGTTGTGTAAGCCTTTGTCTGGATGTGATGGTTAAAGTGTGTCAACTTGGCTGGACCATGATCCTCAGTGGTTTGGCAGTTATGATGTGGTTTGGCAGTTTTTAATGATACAATCACCTCCATAATGAGATCTGATAATGTGATCAGCCAGTTGAAAGGGAGTTTCCTTGGGGTGTGACCTGCATCCAGTATAGGTGGACTTTCTGGCAAGGCTCGCTGGCTTTTGCTCGCTCTGGATCCTGCAGCTGGCTTGTGTTCATCTGACCGCTGGTTCTTGGGATCTGAGCTAGCTGCTTACCTGCCAATCTTGGGATTCACTGGCCTGCACAGCCTGTAAGCCTTCTATCTGACCTTCCGATTTGGATTTGCCAGCACCTGCAGCTATGTTAGTCAGGAGAAGCCTCCAGCCCGACCCTCAAACTTGGGACTTTGCAGCCTCTACAACCATGTGAGTCATTTCCTTTATATGAATCTCTCTATATATTTATATGCTGCACTGGTTTTGCTTTTCTAGAGAACCCAGCCTAAGACACTGGGAGAATTCCAAAAGCTATATAGATTTCTCAGTGAGCAGCAAAGTTCACAGGCTCCCAAGGTCTTCCCGCAGCTAGAAGCTGGTCAGAAGTCATGACCTTGGGCTAATCTGAAAGTCTGAGGTGTGGCCCAGCAGTCAGAAACCTCCACTCCTGGGACCAACAGTGTGAAGGTCAAGGAGCCAGCTCTGCAAGATTGTCATCGTGAGGTTAAACGAGGTTGTTGATTCTCTTTAAAGGAGCCCTGGTGGCGTAGTGGTTAAGTGCTTGGCTGCTAATTGAAAGGTGGGTGGTTTGAATCCACCAGCAGCTGTATGGAAGAAAGATGTGGCAGTCGGCTTCCATAAATATTACAGCCTTGGAAACCCTGTGGGGCAATTGTACTCTGTTCTATATGAGTCGAGCAGACTCAATGGCAATGGGTTTTGGTTCTCTTTGCACTCTGAGCTGAAGCTTGTACCTTGGAGGAACAAGGGCCATGTAGCCTGGTGTGAAGAGCAGCCCGACCAGAGAACTCTGGACAGGCTCTTCCTCAGCTGAGAGCCTCCAGTTCTCCACCCGTCAGACTTCGCCTATGAGAACTCCTATTTGAACTTGAAGACCCAGTTATTGCATCCCTAACTAGTGAGGGACTTCCTGGCCTAACCGCCCACCGCCCTCACTCTAGCCACAACTGTTAGTCTCCTGCACCAGGCCAGGTGCTCCCAAGGCAGCACCTGCAACCCCAGACTCCGGCACAGGCCTGGCAGGGGGAGACCTTGGAGTTGGCTGGCCCACCATCTGCCTCCGCCTGTTCCACTTTGTAGCTCCAGGCATCCTCCACCTACCACCCAGCCAGAAAAGATGTTGACTAAGTGGCTCATATGGACCCAAGAAACAGTCTGGGTGTTGTGCCCTAAGAAACCTTAAAGGGACTCGCATGCCCATGGGGGAAACAGGCTCCCTGTGCACGCCAGCTCAGGTGGGAGGGGAGGGTCTACCAGGCCGTCCTCACACAAGTGACAGAAGTACGGAAGGATGCGAAGGGAGGAGACCCCAGCCTGGGCCATGCGGCCAGGCATCCTGCTGTGGTTTCCCAGCCAAGCCCAGCCCTGGGAAGTGACCTTGAGGCCAGGCCCAGGGGCTCCTGACTGCAGCTGGTAGGGCCTGTGGCAAAATCCAGGCAGTGGGTGGCCCAGCTGGATCCAGACCGAAGGGCACAAGGCAGGGGCCAAGGGCCCTGCAGCCCAGAGGTGGGGAGAAGGGTGAGCATGCAATGGAGAGCTGTCTACCCCTTCAGGAGCCACTGCCCCTCCTGGGCACCACCCTCCGAGCTGTGAAAGGGCAGCTGACCTGCCCACAAGTGAGGAAGATTTTGGGCTGCCCAGGGCCCCTTGTACAGGACAGACTGCCCCTTAAGAGACACGGTGGCCAGTGCACCCAGCCCAAGGATGCCCCACTTGGGGTGAAAGAGGTCTCAGTCTTCACTGCTGCCACACATGACTTTATTTAAGCCCCGTGCACAGCCTAGACACGTAAAGAGGACAAAGGGGAAAGCACATGGGCCCTGGGGCTGCTAAGGGGGGGTCCCAGGGCATCTTCACCCAGTCCAGCCCCTACCCCTCCCATGCCCCAGGGGGCCCTTTGGGAGCAGCCCAAGATGCAGCTCAGGCAGCAGGGGTCCTGCCCCTCTCAGGCTGGAGAACAGGACTGGGCCTGCCAAGGTGCCCACCACACATTGCTCAGCCAGCAGTCTGGGGAGGCCACTGGGCTGGAGCCAGTGCAGTGCCAGGCAGCTCCCACTCCTGGACGGTCTGGGGTCTGCCCCCTGGTTTCTCTTCCTGTCCATACGGCATGGGGCTAGGATCCTGCCCTCTGCTGACACCCCCCACACCCCACCTGGAAGTCTCTGCTCCTTAGGCCAAGCTGCCTGCACAGCAGGGATGGATGGTGGGGACAGCAGTCACTGCAGGGCCAGGGCTTGGTGACAGGAAGCAGAGACAGTGCCGAGCGGCCCAGGTAGGGCAGGATGGCCCCACCACAACACAGCAGGGACAGCATACAGACAGCAACTCCCCAGGCTTGGGGGTAACCCACGGGGAGGGGAAGGCAAGGTGGGCAGGGACAGCCACCGGGGCCTTGACCCTGAGGCACAGACGAGCAGAGCGTCCTCAGATGGCTGTGAGTTTAACAGCAGAGCAACTCACAGCTCCTGCCCCCGCCCCTGGCGGCAGCTCCCCTAAGGCAGGACCAGGGCCAGTCCAGCAGGGAGACGTTAAGAACCCATGCCCAACAGGCAACACACCGCCATGCACCCACACAGCACACACTCAGGACGACATGACACATGAGACAAAGACTCTCCATGCCTCCGACCAGAGTCCTGTCTGAAGAAAGGGCTGGGCTGTAGCTCAGTTCGTCCAAGCCCCTTCCCCAAGCCGTTGTCCAGGTTGAGGGACAGGAGAGGCTGGCTTCCCATCTAGACCTTGTACAGCGTCTGCAGCAGGTTGTGACGGGCAAAGGAGCAGGCTTCCAGGGCACCATTGGGCCTGAGGGGAAAGAAGGGTCAGCAAGGGGGCAGGCACCCAAGGCCCCAGGAGCTCAGGCTCCAGCCCAGCCTGGCTCCCACCTGTGAAGCGGGACGTGGGGACCACCAGTTGAGGCTTGAACCACACCCAACTCAATTTTCTAATCTCACGAGGACTTTGCAAGGGAGACATTAGTTCTCTGCTGTCTGTACATCTGGGAGTGGGGAGTGCAGGAGGCTGAGAGAGGTGGGTAACACCGGGCCAGGAAGCACGTCTGCTCAGGTGGGAAGCTGGGTGTTTTCTTTCTACCAGCAGGGAGCCCTCAGGGGCCACGAGTGCCCCACCTGAGCCCTCCCATGGAGATCATCAGCCTCACTGCAGGGGAAGACACCAGGTAATGGTGGAGGAGAGGGGAGACAGACACCTGGCAAGTGTAAGGTAGAACCAGCACCAAGGACACCTCTGACCCAGAGCCCCTTGGACCAGGCAGGGCTTGGGATCCCAGACAACTGGCAGGGGGCTGAGGGTGGGGAATCATGCATGCCACCACACACCCTGTCATCTGAGGGACAGGGGGCGTTTTTTTTTAAAATGGGCACAGAGCGAGGGCTGGGCTGGGGGTGGGCAACCTACAAGAGAGACAAGGACGAGGGCGTCTCCTCACAGGCCATGCCCTGCTGAGGGCAGCGTGGGGACGGCGGGAAAGTGACAGGAAGCTGGGCTTTGTCAGCGGGTGGAAGGTAGAGGCCATGGCCACCATCTGTAGACACTCTAGGCAGCATGGACTAAGCCCGGGGGCTGAGGAGTGTTACCCGCTGTGGGCACAGGCTTGGGGAGGGTGGGCCTTGTGGGGGTGAGCGGGGAGGCTGCAGTCAGTCTGTGGCCACAACGCTGACAGAAGTGGACTGGTCAGGTTTGCTTTCAAAAGCTCATCCAGCTGCTGGGGAGGGTGTGGCAGTGGACGTGTGGGTGAGAGAGGGTGAGGCCTGACCAAGGAGGCAGTGCTCCATGGATAAAAACACAACACAGCACTGGGTGCTGAAGGCCGGTGGACGTCCACACTGTCTGTGCCGGCTTCCACTCACTGCCCTCCCCACAGCCTCCATGTGCCCTGACTGCAACCAGCTGGCGCTAGGCACATGGCCTGAGCCCATCTCCATTCTGGACTGCCCAAGGTCGGGGGCGGTGGTCAATCTCGCTCAACGTCTCAGTTGGGCAAATGGGGAGACTGAGGTTGGCTGGGGGTCACACAAGGCCTCAGGGAGGGCACAAGGGACAAACCTCCCGACCCACCTCTGGTGGGGCCCCAGGGTCTGGAGGTTTCATGCTACTCAGCTGTGGCCAGTGCCCACCAATGCCCCAGGACCCTCCAGGGCAAGGCAAGGCTTCCAGGTCTCTGGGTACCTTGGCAGCTCCCAGAGCAAAGGGTGTCCCCAGGGCCAGGACTGTGGCTGCAGAAGGCGGACACAAACAGGCCCCTGTGGCCTTGGTGGCGGTGGGGAAGGATACTGAACTGTTCCCGGAGACCACACCGAGCACGGGACCTAGATCAGCACGCTCAGGTCTGGACAATGGCCTGGCCTCTGACTAGTGTCTGTCTGCGGAAAACTCCTTAACCAACCCGGGGGCTAGTGTCCTCATCTGGAAAGTGGAGACTATTACAGTCTTCTGTTCCTCACAAGGAAGACAGTCCCTGAGCCCCACGTCCTCAGCTGGGCAAATAGCGGGGAGACCTCACAAGGTGGCAGAAAGACTTAGCATAGCTACCGCGAGCCTGGGAGGCCTGTAGGCCTCTCATAAGCCTGATGTCAGATGGGCTAGAGCTCCTGGAACAGGCTCCTCTTGACCAGGCCAGCCAAGTGCCTGAGCACACAAACCGGCCAGTGATGTCGAGGTGGGCACACTCACTTGGTCACGAACGCCAGCAGCAGGGGAGCAAGGGCCTTGGGGAAGTAGTCCTGCTGCACCATGTGGTTCAGAGCCATCAGGGGGCCGTACAAGTTGGCAATGGCCTTGACCTTGTCTTCACTCTGCAAGGAGAACAAAGCAGATGGCTTTAAGGGAGAGCTTTACAGTCACCTGGAGGCCCTGGTGTCCAGCATCCACACCTGCTGACAGTGTCCCTTGTTCGAAGTTAAGCTGAGTCAGTGCGCCACAGGGACACAGTGTGGGCGACAGGCCCCAGAAAGACTTGAGGTCTCGGGTGGGGTAGGCATGGCAAGGACGGAGCACCTCTGGTCCACTTTCACCCTCCCTGGTCCCCACTCCTTCCAGCCTCACCTTTAGCAGACCCATGTGGATGAGGAGCCTGGTGAGGAAGGCATTGGAGTTGAAGGAGGATGAGCTGAAGGCCTTCTTCATCAAGGCATCTGTAAGAGGTGCCCAGAAGGAGGTGAGATGTGAACACAAGTTCCAGACTGAGGGGGCAGCTGGGACCAGGGAAGAGCTCAGTCAGCCTTTGGCCCTTCTCCATCCTGGGCTCAGACATAAAACAGGCTTGGTGACACCACCCACTGTGCCCACCTAGACAGCAGGGGCAAAGATTAAGTAAGGCAGACCCCACTGGAGGAGCTTTCAGACACTTGAGTGGGTCAAGAGGTCAAGGGGGCAGTGGCTGAGGGCCTGGCTTTGGGCACTTGCTTCTGTCCTAGGCTGTTTCAGAAAACAGAACTTAGGCAACTTGGTTCCCACAAATTCCCGAGGGGGTGGGCTGCCAAGTAGCAGACCTGCAGACTACAACCTGGCCCCAAGATGCCTTGTCCAGCCTCACTTCCCACGGCCCCCACCCCACCTCAACGCTGCCAGGATAACCACCACACGCGTTTCCACTGGTTTCTACCCTTCCTGTGTGTAGGCTCCTCCTCTCCTAGCCAGATCTGGCCCACCCTTCAAGGCTCAGCCACCCTAAGTCAACAAGGTAGAAGGCGACAGGTGCTGTGACAGAGGTAACTAAGAGTGGGATAGGGGCGAGGATGTGACAGGGCGTGGCAGAGGTAGACCCAAGATCCAGAGAGGCCTCGTCAAAGATATGGGAAGAGCAGGCATCCTCCATACAGGGGACCTCCCGTCGAGCGGACTGTGTGTGCACGGGCTCAGAGGTGGAGACGAAGGCTCAGCTCTCCACCCCATCCCCAAGGGGCTCTGGCACCCAAATTCAGACTGTGTCCATGGGGCCTGCAGACACAACCATCTGGTCTCCCCAGGAAGACAGCATGGCTCGCAGCCCAGGCCTCTACCTGACATCCCTGCCCTGCACCATGAGGTGAAGAAAGACCTATGATCTAGCTATACACAGCTGTATGACTTTGGGAAAGGCCTGTAACCTCTCTGGGCATCAGCTTCCCCATCTGCAAAAAACAGAGTGGAGAGCCCCCAGGCTGCTCCAGTGCAGGACCATGGCGAGAATCCAACAGACTGGTGGCGGCAGAAGGGGCTGACAGTGGTCTATCCACGAGCACTGAACAGAGGGTGACAGACGGGTGGGGGGAGGGGGCTGACAGGGGTCTATCCACGAGCACTGAATAGAGAGTGACAGTCACCAGTAAATGTCATCCGGGGGTGCATGAGCCCTGGTGCCAGGAGAAGAACCGAGACCCCCAGGCCCTGTCTGCCCCCATTACCTACTGCGTCCTGCACAGCCATCCTCACTGTGGCTTCGTCCTTGAACACAGAAGACACCTTCAGGAAGGCAGAGACCACCTTCTCTGGATCAGATGTGTCGGTCTGAGGAGACAAGAGACAGTGGAGACTTCCTGGGCTCTGCTGCTGGCTAGAAGAGCCCCAGCCACACATGGGCTCCTGGTGGGCAGGATCTCTCACTGGGTGGGGTGCAGTCATCCACCAGAGGTCTGACAGACATACTGGTCACACACGCACATATTCTTACATTAAAGAGCAGTCGGGGGTGGCCAGCCCCCTCAGCCCCCTCTCCCAGTCCCATGTTCTACTTGTCCTTTTCTATGGCAGTTTTAGAAGTCACACCACTGGTAGGTTGCGACTGTAGTGGTTACCTGCTGGGCTATCAACAGGGAACTCTTGGGGCCCAGGCGCAGGAGCTTCTCTGGAGAGGGGAAAGCGAGGAAGGTGGAGACGTCCACGGGGGGCGGGGAGGACAGCACAGGAGCTGGTTCCTGAGAGACAGGTGGCGTGGGAGGCTCTGCTGAGCACCAAACCCCAGGTTCCTCCCTGGCTCTGCCCTTCCCCACCCCCAGAACACCCACGCCTCACTAGCCAGGCAAGGCGCGAAGTCCAGGATTCTTCCTCCCACTCAGCTCCCACTCCCAAAGGGAAGGCACAAGTCACCTCCCTAGGACTCAAAGAGCCGGCACTGCCCAGGGGGTCCTCTCCAGGACATGTGATGCCCCAGGGGACCCTGGAACCAGAGTCTAGTCTGGATAAGCACCACCAGCGGTGCCCAAAGGAAAACATAATAAGTAATGCCTAGCCATTTGCTTAACTGCTTCCATAAACTGGAAAAGAAGCCAAATGCAACATGAGCGTGGGGAGTCCTCAGTCCAACCCACAGTTTTCTAGGAGCTTTACGAGGGAACCTATGAGAGAATATGAACGCGTGAACTATGCATGGCAGCCTGACTCACCAGCCCTCCTGGTCAGGCAAGGGATACCAAATGCCCAGCTGGGTCACCGGCCCTAACACTGTCCCTCAAATCAGGGGCTGTCCCTAAAGGTGGCCAAGGTAATCCACTGGCAGGTCAGAAAAACTTATCAGAACTTTTTATTTATGCTTACTTTTTCAACTCTTATTGTTGTAGAAGTATTTACATATGTTTTATAGATATAAAGAATGCAATGGCATATATTATAATTATATAATGTTGCCTAATATTACAGTTTATAAATATTATAAATTCATAAACAGATCTATATTGGGGTAAACATAAATACAGGTAAAATATAAGTACACTGGGTGCTTTTCTCTTTTACTCATGTTGTGTGCCGCTGAGTCGATGGCAGTTCATAGCAACCCTGAAGGACACAGCAGAACTGCCCTAGGCTGTAATCTTTATGGAAGCAAATCGCCAGGTCTTTTCTCCCAAGGAGTGGCTGGTGGGTTCTAACCATCGACCTTTCAGTTGGCAGATGAGTGCTTTAACCACTGTGCCACCAGGGCTCCTTTTCACTCATAAAACCCAACCCGCTGCTGTGGAGTCAATCATGACTTGTACTGACCCTGCAGCAACCCTAAAGGACAGAGCAGAACTGCCCCATAGGGTTTCCAAGGCTGTAAATCTTTATGGAAGCAGACTGCTGCATCTTTCTCTGTGGGTTGGCTGATTCGCACACTCCTTGGTGGTGCAGCAGTTAAGAGCTCAGCTGCTAACCAAAAGGTCAGCAGTTCAAATCCACCAGCCACTCCTTGGAAACCCTACAGAGCAGTTCCACTGTCCTATAGGGTCGCTATGAGTCGGAATCAACTCGACGGCAACGGGTTTTACTCGCAGGAGCATGCAAATCATTAAAGTCTGAGACCACTGCACTATTAAGTGAATTCCACACCTCCCTGCCGCCACAAGACACTGCAGGGTCTCGCATTCAGGGGACCAGGGCTCTGATCCTGGTAAATAACGAGGAACTCACGCCACTGTTAGGGTCCAGAATCTTCCTTGAGGGTGTGGTCAACTCCTCTCCTTGCCCTTGCTGCTGTGGCTCTTCTTCCTCCTCTTCCTCTTCCTCCTCCTCCTCTTCATCTTCTTCTTCCTCCTCCTCTCCTTCCTCCTCCTCCTCGTCCTCATCATCCTCACCTTCATCATCACTGCAGAGAGGAGCCAGCTAAAGCAGACCCTCCCTGCCCAGTGGCCCATGCTGCTCAGAGGCCTGGCTCCACGAGCCCACAGACACCAGCCAGACAGGAGGCATCCTGGGAGGGGAGGGGGATCCCCTGCTCCCAGTGCAGGGGAGAGCACCTCATTCATTTTCCATCATTCAGAGAACCCCAGGTTACAGACACAGAAGAATCATCTCCTCCCTGTCCCAAGGGAGCCCCTAGTCCCTCGAGTGAGAGAAAGAAAAGGAAGAAAGATCTGCCTTCCACAGCTGGGCCCAGGGACTGGCGGGAATACCACCCAGGTGGGGTTGCCCAGGACTGAGCCACCCACGTCTTGCTGAGCACAGGAAGCTACATTTGGGGGACAGGCTGGGGGGGTGTCCCTGCCCCTGGAAGGCCATGCCATTCCCCTGAACCCTGAGCCCATCTGAGTCCCTGTTCCCAGCAACAGCTCAGGGCCGGGCACTGAGGAGGCACAACTATCTGACAAGCGAACAAAGCCGATGTGGTGATTAGAGGGCTCTCAGGAGAAAGGCTGACAGCGAAACTGACCCTCATCCGCATACCCAGGGACCTCGCTCTCTCCCACCAGTCTCTTCCTTTCTACTGCATCATTCCCGCCAGCAAAACCAAAGTGCTCTAGGGTCAGGCTTATTTTAAAAACCACCCTGAGCCCCGCCCCCTTCAAAGTGCCCACCTCCCACCCACCACCAGGACCCTCCTGTCCCGCTTCTCTGGCCCCTGTACTACCTGCCCTCACTGTGCTTCAGATCAGACCATGTGCCCTCCCTGCCTCGGCCTCCCAACTCCCCCACTCGGAAGGCGACCATTCTCAGCCCTTATGGGTTCCTCTGTTGAACACATGATAACTAAATTCCTCATCCTGTTCCTTGATCCTCTCTCCCGGCCCTACCAGCACGCAGTTCTGTTATTGCAGAAACCTTGACAGTCTCATCCTCACACCCCTAGTGACTAGCACAGTGCCTGGCACACAGCAGGCGCTCAGCTGACGTTTACAGAATGACTGAAATAATCAATGAAGGAACAGCCTGACTCCTACCTGAGGGATGCCAGCACTTTGGCCATGTTGAAGCCATCCAGAACTTCCTGAAGCTGCTCACAGCCTTCTTCTCCTAGGGTGTTGCCTGTTCATGGGAGGGAACAGAGAGTCAGGACAGGGCCCAGGGCCAGACGGGGATGGGCTCATGCTCCCCACCAGCACCAAGGCCTGCGCTAGGCCATTCCTGCCATGACTACCGTTGAGGTCCAGCTTCTCCAGCTCAGCCTTGTCCCCCACGGCCTCAGCAATGGCCAGAGCAGCATCTCTCTTGATTTCACAGAATGACAAGTTCAGCTCCTAAAAATCAGAGGAAGGGGTGGAGGCAACCAGACACCTAAGCCAGCACACCAGATCCTACCCTGAAGCCTCAGTTTCCCCAAGTAAGGATAGGGCAGGCTGTGTCCTCCAACTGGACAAAGGGGGTGGGAATAATACCAATAATAACAACGGTGCCATTACCCAGTAACTGTGCCAGGTACCAAATATGATTAAAAACCCAGTTTCAGCTAGTCGATTCCAACTCCTGGAGAACACGTGTCAGAATAGAACTGTGTGCTCCACAGGGTTTTCAATGGCTGCACTAGACCACCAGATCTTTCTTACGAGGTGCCTCTGGGTAGACTTAAACTGCCAACCTTTCAATCAGCAGCTGAGCTCATTAGCCATATGCACCACCCAAAAACCCAAACTCATTGCTGTCAAGTCTATTCTGACTCAGAGCGACCCTGCAGGACAGAACAGAACTGCCCCATAGGCTTTCCAAGGCTATAATCTTTACAGAAGCAGACTGCCACATCTTTCTCCCGTGCAGCAGCTACTGAGTTCAAACCATTGACATTTCAGTTAGCAGCCCAACACTTAACCACTGTGCCACCAGGGCTCCTCACGCACCACCCAGGGACCCCTAAATACGTTTAGACTGTACCATAATATTGCACATCACCCCTGTTCCCATTTTAGCAATGGAGAGACTGCAGCTCAGAGAGGTGAAGAGACTTGCACAGAATCAGAGCCAGGAAGTGGAAGACCTGGGATGTGAACTCCGGCCCACTTGCCTTTATAGACTAGACCCCCACCCCCAGACTCTACCATCACCAGCAGAGTCCCAAGCACGGGGAAGCCTAGCGCCCGGAGGCGAGGCAGGTCTAGGTACCTTCAGTTTGGGCAGGCCCCCACGGACGGCATCTGCAATGGCAACAGCACCTTTGGAGCGCACCAGGCAGTCCCCGAAGTTGATCACCTCCACTTGTCGCAAGGTCTTCAGGGTCTGCAGTGAGGAAGCGGGGGCCCAGGGTGAGGTGCAGGCCTCACCCCAGCCCCAATGCAAGCCCCACGGGGCCCAGCGACATCACACTCCACACCAGCCACTACACCCTGTCCTCCTCTGTATCTGGCTCCTCAGCACTTCGGCTCTGCTCACCACTTCCTTGTTGGTCTCCCAGCATCCAGCCAACCCCTGCTACACCAGAACCCTCTTCCTGAGGCACACGTGACCATGTCACACCCCTACTTAAACCCTCATAGTTCCCTGTTACTATGGAGAAAGTCTCAAGGAGGCAGCGATGCCACTAGGCTCGCCTCCCTCTCTTCATCTCCTTCAGCCCTCAAATGCACCTTGAACCCTGGTCGTTTCAGACCAGGACCCATCAGGCAGGGCCTCTCCCGAGTCTCTGGGCCTTCCCACAGGCTGCTGTCCCCTGGCCTGAAACACTCCCCACGCTCTGTCCAGAGAACATCCACTTGTCCTGTACGACTCACCTGAACGTGCCCTCTCCCAGGAAGCCTGCCCTAAGTCAGACTGGAACTGCCACCCCACAATGCACCTCTCCGCTAACATCCTTTGTGGGATCGTGCAGCCCCTTCCCACCTAGAGGCCCTGACAACCAGCCACTGCACTCAGCCCTGCACTGCAGTTCAGCCACGTCCTTCCTCCTTGAACCAGGGTCTCCTTGAAGGTGGGGACTTTGATCCAACTCTGTGTGGCCTGTGCTTGGTACAGAGCCCGGCACCAAACAGGGCCTCAATAAACAGCTGTTGAACGAATGAATGAGACAAACGGAGCTAGGGCAGTCTTGTCCCGTTCAGTCCGAGAACAACCAGCATCAACAGCTGGGGGCTACAGGAGGCAGACCCAAGCTCAGCGTGAAGGCAGTGCCAACACTCAGAGCTGCCCGAGAAGGGCATGGGCCACCTCATGATGGACGACCCGGTTCTGGTCACAGTCAGGCTGGCAGGACCCATGGGTGGCCTCAGGTAAGGAGCCTGTGAAGCCCTGGGCACCTGCTCAGGCAGCTGCTGTACCCTGCATGCCCGGGGTGCGGCCTCACCTCGGCCATGGCCACAGCCCCCTTCTCAGTGAAGGTGTTGTCATTGAGGTTGATGACCCGCAGCAGGGGGTTGATGGCGAAGGCCTGGGCCAGGGCCATGACACCGGGGTGATTGATCCCATTCTGGGGCATATGGACCTCCTCCAGAGTCCCGATGATCTGCAAGGGGCAGGAGAGAGCCATGAGCAGGGAGACCCAGCAGGCCAGCAAGCAGTGCTCCACGGCCGGCTCGGGGAGGGGCTGTGGCAGCACCAGGTGGTGGCTTGCTGGGGCTTTTCTGGGCATAGACTCGGGATTGAGCATGGGCATGACTCTGTGCCTGGGCACCCTCTGGTGTCCCTGGGAGCCCAGCACAGTATCGGGGGTCTCCCACACAAACACAGGCAGGCCAACTGAGGCCCATTACAAGCCAGGGCTTCTTAATCTTCTCTGTGCCAGGGACACTTCAGGCAGTCTGGTGAAGCCCACGGACTCCCACTGCAGAAGAATGTTTTTAAATTTTAAATTATACAGGATTACAACAGAAAACAATTAAAATGGAGCACAGCTATCAAAATATTGAAAATACGATGTGTGCTATAGCAATAGATGTATTTTTTTACGCACTGAATAACAAGGCCTAAGAGCGGTTCTATTAATTACTGCAATTCTGAGGCTGTGACGAACATAAACATTTCTATGTATTTGCGACAACGACAATTTGACATGAAAATATCCTAGATTTCTCATGCTGACAAAGCCACAGAAACTTTTAAAGTTGCTGAGGTCTATTGTCTACATTCACACTCAAAGGTTATACAGGAGAACCTGTGAAAGCCGGAACCTGTGGAAGGCAGAAACTTGTCAGAAAAAGAAAACTCAAACATTTTCCACTAATAGTGTTGGAGCCCTGGTGGTATAGTGGTTAAGAGCTCAGCTGCTAACCAAAAGGACGGCAGTTCGAATCCACCAGCTGCTCCTTGGAAATCCTATAAGACAGTTCTACTCTGTCCTATAGGGTCGCTATGAGTCCGAACCGACTCGATGGCAACTAACAAGAACAACAGAGTGTTAGAAAAGTGGTCAGACTGTACCCTGTCAAAAGCGGAAAATTTGAGGGAACACAGGCAGTCTGGTCAAGTTCTGGCGCTCACAGGTTTCAGCGTACTCTACTTCAGCCAGGTTAGTGAGGATGACGATGCAATATTTCTCCACCCCCATTTACAGACCCCTGAATTCTATCCAGACTGGGGAATGCCATGGGCCCCACTCTAAGAGCACTAGAGGATACATCAAAGGTTCAGCATCAGCACAATGTAACCTCATCCCCAGAGCCACAAGGTCAGGGGCCATGGGGAGGGGTGTGGGGAAGACATGACCGTTAAACTCCTGCAGATGCAAGGATGAGGACTAGCCCCCCTCCAGGTCCTGCTGCAGAGTGCTGAGGTGAGGAGGCAGGAGGTCTGTGCAGCATAAGGGGTTCAGGTAAAACGTCAGGCAGTTGTCCTCCGCGGGTCCCCTCTAACGGTCCATTTGGCAGTGGCTGTTCTAAGTGGCAGGGCTGTGGTGGTCTGAGCCTGAGCATGGTGACTTCTAGCAAAGTTGCCGAATGTTAAACATTCAAGTCAAGAGACGAGGGAGACAAACCCCAAAGTCTCAGCCCTGTGGTGGGCAGGGGTGGCCTCTCATGGGATCACGATCAGGGACTCAGGTGTGCCCTGGGCAGGGGGCAGAGCAGCAAGGAGGCGAGGACACCGGGTGCTTTACCACCACCCCTGGGCCTCTTGCCTGCTCCCACCCACCTCCTGGTCTCAAAGGCAAGTTCGATCTCTCCATGTCTGGGTCCTGTGCAACAGAGGCCACGGTCGCACCCCTCAGGGAGCTCTGCACAGGCCAGCCAAGCTGGGCTATACCAGCACACACACCGCTCTGGTGCCACCAGTCCTCAGTTCAGAGCGTGGGCCCTGCCGAGGCCTCACAACCTCACGGTGCTCCGTGGGGCTGCCAACCCACCGGCGGTAGGGGATCACGTGACTGCAGACACGCACTATCTCAAGTGGCTGAGCTAATAGGTTTGGGGGAGTTAACAGGCTGACGGGATGAAACGACTCCAGGTGAACAGACCTTGCTGTCTCGGCTAAGTGCGGAGCTGGACTTCCCACCCAGGACTGCTGGCCTCCCCAGGTCAGCCCACCTCAGGCACAGCAGTCAGGGTGGACAGAACAACTCACCCCAAAAGCTTCTGCCAAGGCAGTGGCTCCATCATTCTCCAGACGGTTCCTGCCAGCCACAAAGACCTTTAGGGCCAGAGGCTTGCCTTGGGCACTGGACTTGCGGTGACACTCAGTCAGAGCTGCTGCCAGGATCTGTGGAAAAAGGCAGGGCCCAACTGTGGGCAGGAGGTCCTTCTCCCCACGGGGCGGCCACGGCCTCTGAACCAGTCTTTAACATGCCACACTGCCACTGGTGGGGTGAGGAGACACAGAAAGCACAACAGTCACGCCTCATGCATGCCCAGCACCCTACCGTTTACATCTACTGCTTTTTAACTCCTGGAAAAGCTCTTTGTGCCTCAATTTCCTCAAAGTCAACAAAGCAGATGGGTAACACTGCCTTCCTCCTGGGACTGCTACACAGCAGAGACAAGGTGAGGCCAGGGAAGCTGAGGCGTTTTACAAGGTCGAAGCTCCGGCTCCCCAGCACACCTCCCTTAGGCTGGGCTGCACCTGTGCTCTGTGCTGGTGCAGCCATGTTTACAAGGGACACACAGTTTGTTGCCCAGTCAGATCAATAACTCCCTGAGCGTGCTGGTCTCTCACCTGGCTTATTTCCCAAGTCCTGGGGCAGGACTGGCTGGGGCGGGCCCTGGAGTGCCCCTGCTCTCCCTTCCACGGGGTGGACAGTGACAGACACCCCTCGGCAGGGAGGCCACTCGGCTCCTCGGCCTGGGGCACAGCAAGCGTCACCCAGGCTCCTCCTGCTAGTCTGAACGGAACCTCGCAGTTGAAAGTTCAAATCCCACATCCCACTAACTGGATCACATGAGCTGCAGGATGGGGCACTCTATTCGCCTCTCTAAGCCCAAACTGACACATCTGGAAAAATGCAGGCAGCACCCCCACCTTCAGTGTAGATGGGAAAATTAAGCTAGTGCATACAATACATCTTCAAAGATGTCTGCAGTCGACGTCAGTCTTTGTGTCCTCAGGCCTTTCCTCCCTTTTGCTGAGCAGCAGTCAGACTGTGCAGGGGTATGCATGGTGGGGGGTGAGGGATGCAGACTGGGACTCAGCATCCTTGACTCTGGGGCTGAAGGAGCCAGGATGGACCTGAGGAGAAGATCAGGGCTGGCGGCCCACAGAGCAGGCTCTGGGAAGAAGGGGCTCCTCTCTGCACCGATCAGCCGGACCCATTGGCAGGATGGGGAGGCATCCAGGGCAGGACCACTGGAAACCAAGGTGTGCTGGCACCAGGCCTCCCTGAGTGCGGGTACACACCAGGCCTTGCCCCGGGCTCTGCCAGCTGTTCTGAGGGTACGGCAGGTCTGGGGAGGCCCCAAGGACAGCTTTTGCAGAGCCAGCAGGTCAGAGTATGGATGCAGCACGGCCTCCGTGTCACCAAAGCAACATGGAAACTGGGCATGGTTGCTTGGCAACCCCACATCCACAAACTCCACCTCTTCTCCCAGTAGCCACAGGCCGCTGCCTTTGAGAGCTTTCTCCTTTGAAGAGAACAAATGACAGCCGGCCACCCAGACAGTGGGTGGCTAAGGGCCCACATGAGATGCCGGAGCACTTACTTCAGCCAGGGACAAAAGCAGCTGGGGACCGGGTAGGGTGGGGACAGGGGTGGGGGCCGCACCCACCTTGCCTCCGCCGATGCCCATGCCGCAGTTGTTGAGCTTGAGCTCATGCAGGGTGAAGCAGGCAGAGCTCTTGAGGAGGGCCTCGAAGCCGCGCACGCCATCAGGCCCGAAGGCATTGTCGCTCAAGTCCAGCTCCACCAGCTGGGCCCCGGCAGTGATAAGTCCCTCCCCAAGTGAGATCTGGGCACAGAGGAAGCCCTGTCAGTTTCACAGACACCTACGGGCACTGCTTCTGTGCCAGGCCCACTGCCCTGCCTCGGGGACCGGCAGACACAGGCCTTCCAGCAGAGTTGTCCATGCTATACACCCAGGACTGGGAAATGCAGAGGGTCCTAACTCAGCTAGGGTTGGGGCTCATGTGCATGTGGGGCGGCAGGGAAAGTTTCCTGTCTATCCATTGCTGCCAAGTCGATTCTGACTCACAGCGACCCTAAAGGACAGAGCAGAACTGCCTAGGGTTTCCAAGGCTGTAACCTATGGAAGCAGGCTGCCACATCTTTCTCCCACTGGGCAGCGGTGGGTTCGAACTGTCAACCTCCCAGCTAGCAGCTGAGCGCTTAACCACTGCACCACCAGGTCCTAGGCTTCCTGTAGGAGGTGGCATTTGAGCTCAGTCTGGATGAGAGTCAGCAGTAAAACCAGGCAGGCAGTGGCAAAAACAGGAGCAGAGACACAAAAGCTGAAACAGCAGCCTGTGTGCCTGGGAACGAGCATTCAGTAGCCTCCAGAGAGGCTTAGGCGTGGGGTTTGGCTGGTCAAGTCAGGCAAGACCCTTGCACACCAGGTCAAGAATTATGAACCTGAGCCCGACAGCAATGGACGTTGAGATGCATGAGCGGTACAGAACACGGCCCTGAACCTGAGGAGGGGAGACTGGTGGGCGGGGGAGGCAGGAGGCTGAGCAACCACCAGGACTGCAGTGCAGCAATCCAGGCCACAGTGCTGCCAGCAGACCATGGGGTGTCGGGGAGAGGACGCTGGCCCCGGGGGAGTGGATACTGCAGACGCAGATGGGTCAGCTCATGTGGAGAAGGAAGAAGAGGTACCACAAACGCCTCCAGGCTTCTGGGGGTAACCAGGCAGATGAAGTGTCTCAAGCCATGGCCTGGGAACAGATTTGGGGGGAAAATGCTGAGCTCTCCTAGGAACCACTGGGCTGGGGGTACCTGTGTCCCCAGGAGAAACAGCCAGAAAGAAGGCTCAGTCAGGTTCATGGTGGAGGGTGGGGGAGGGGAGACTATCTACCCTGCCTGGGCGAAGTGGTAGCTGAGGCAGTCTCCACTGTCCTCCCCACCACTGGATGAACAAGAAGGGACGTTCTCTGGCTCCCCACTATGCGCAGGACACCTTGGTGACCTCCCCCCTCCTGCCAAGCAGTCACAGCCACTCAAACTCTCTGTGGTCGCTCCAGCTTCCCTGCTGTGTCCTGCCGTCCCCAACCCCAAATTCTCTTCTCCCCGTCTCTAAGGCTCACTCTCGTCATTGGTAATACAGAGATAATACCTTTCTCAAAGGCGGAGGAAATAAAATGCTAAAATTTAGGTAAAACAATTTTCACAGTGAGTTCCACAGCCAAGTACATTCAAGCTCTTTTTGGATATGAAATCAGCCAACTGAGCTTACTGAACCTACATCCTAAAGCCTCGCCGCACATGGTTCTTACTCACCTTCGAGGCACAAACATTGCCTCCTGAGGACCTGCCTCCTAATCCCCTACCCAGGGAGCCTGGCCTTTGGGCCCCCATTATGGCCCCTGTCACCTCAGATGACCCTGAGTTGTTTACTAAATGGGGGCTCTTTACAAGTGAGATTGGTGCATGGGTGTCTCTGGAACCCCAGAGCTGGCCATATGAATGAAGGCCGGAGAAGGCACCCCAGCACGACCAAGTGAGGGACTCAAAAACATAAACAATCGTAACCAAGAGCCCGCACCACTGAGCCGCTGTGTGCCAGCCCTGTGCTATGAGAACACGCTGAAGGGGCTGCTTACTTTAGCCCTACTCACGTCCCCAAGCCCAGGCAAGCCACGGTCTGCTGTGTGATGCCCTCCTCCCACACTCTTCCACGTGTGCACGTACACACACACAGGCACGCACGCACACACACATACAGAGGAACGGGGAGATGGAAAACAGAGGCCAAAGGAAGCCACCCATGGTGCGAACCAAAGGAAGAGTGGTCTGGAGAAAGGGTGGGGCAGAGGAAGCTGGGGGTGACCACAACCGGCTACGTGAGATAAAGCTGTGAGGGAACAAGAACCACAGGGTGACAGGAGGGGGATGCCAGAAAGAGAAACGATAACAGAAATGATGATCCACAGTGTGAGTGACAGCACGGGCTCCAGAACCAGCCCCGGGACACCCTAGTCTCAGCTGGACTTCCTCCTATCTAGGCCCTCGTGAATCACAAGTCCTTACACTTCAGCTTCCCCCTTGTCATCTGTCCTCCCCCTGCCCTCCTGTCACGACACAGGGCAGGTGCCATGCTTGCCTGGCTTCTGTCCAACGTCTCCCGGGGCTTATCCTAGTCTCCAGAAGGAACAAGGGGTGAGAACAATCCCAGAGGTGCCTGTGGAGGGGGAAGCAGCCTCGTCCACTTACCAGGGCTGGGGGGATCTCGGACCTCAGTCTCCCTGTGAACATGTCACTCCAGTGGCATCGCTTTGGGAAGAGAAAGGAAAGAGAAGTTAGCAGGGACTCTTGGAGGTGATCTGACACCAGCGAGCTGCACATCATCTCGTGGACATGAAACTGCCATGCATCACTAGACTTCCTAGTTTGGGCTTCATCGGTAAAAAGCTGGGCCAGCTCTGGCTGAGGCTGGTGAGACCTGGAGGCCGGTCCTCAGGTTGAGGCCCCGAAGGCTGTGAACCATGAAGGGCTCAGTCTGGAAAACGCTGGATCTGGGCAACTCTCTGGTTTTCTAGGAGGGGAAAAGGCTCAGAGGAAGAGCTCTGCCCCAGGCCCCATGGCAAGGCAGCAGCCGAACTGGGTCCAAGACCCTAGCCTCCTGGCCCAGTGCTCCTTCTCAGTACCAGTTTCCCATAAAGTGTGGGCCATGGCAGCCTGTGACATGATTGAGGAACACAGAATACTGGATCCAGCCGTGAGGGAGTGACTCTGTTTTCAAGTCTCTTTCAACTTTCTGACCACCTCCAGAAGACAGCCTCAGTTTAGTGGGTCCTTCCTACTCCACTTCTTGCTCATCTGCCCTTTTTACAGAGCAGGCTGTCTCAGAGCCTGCAGGCAGCAACAATATCAAACTAGAATTTAATGTTATTTTCTTTCTTTTACTTTTAGTTACTTTGCATTTATGGCCAGCTGAAAGATGTGCCAGTCTGCTTCTGTAAAGATTTACAGCCCTGGAAACCCTATGGGGCAGCTCTACTCTGTCCTATTGGGTCGCTACGAGTCAGAATCGATTTGATGACAGAGGGTTTGGTTTTGTACTTATGGTAAGGGATACTAGTTTTCCATTTACAGAGGTGATTTTGTTTGCTTTTAAATTCTTGAAAAGTGAGCTGGATTAAAGAAAATATTAGGTAAATAATGTCACAAAGGCGGTGGCCACATGACGGAACCATTCACCACGCTAGCCAGCCACACGTGGTCTCCCAGCACACAGCCCTAACCCCCAACTCTGCCTGCTCTGCGCACCCCCAAAACAGAACCCCGGGAGCTCCAGCTCGGGTAGCTCCACTCAGGTAGCTCCAGCCTTCTCTGGGTCAAACCTAGCAATGATGGGATACACTTCACTTTCCTCTGCAGATCCAGTCCCTAAAATTTATTAACTAAACTCAGCCTTAAGTACTAGCTGGTTTTGTGAAAGAACTTCTGCGTCTTCCTAGAAGGCAAACCTCTCTGACTCACCTGGGCCTTGGCTGGATGCTCCCACGCTGCGGGCGTTGAAGTCAGCTGCGCCGGGCCTGGGGCCATGAGCAGGCACCACAGCCTGAGACAAGTCCCTTACAGCATCACAGCATCTCACCCCGGAGCTGCCCAAACCCAACTGTGATGAGCTGAGGGTCAGGTCGGCATGTGTGGGAAGCATCAGGTCTCCAGGGCACAGGCCTGGCGTCCTATCTCAACTAGAACCCTGACCTAGCAGACCCCAGGCCCCTCACTGTCCCTCTCTGCCCCCTGGCACCATAACGCTTTAGGCCTCAGCAGCAGATCTCAGAGCCAGCAGCAGAGCAGTTAAAGAGCTTGGCCTCCTATCAGGGCTCCAGGCCTAGCCTACTCCTTGTAAGATGTGTGACCCTGAGCAAATTATTTCTCCTAGCTGGGCCGACTTTTGTACGTGTCAAGACCTAACCCGTACATGTGTTGTGACCTAACCCGTGCATGTGTTGCGACCTAACCCGTGCATGTGTTGCGAGGAGATAATATCTTATCTTGCACCAGCACCATGCCCAGAATACAATGGGCCATCACCCAAGGGCAGCTCTCAGCTCTCTGGGCTCCTTCTTGCAGAGAGGCAGGCCTGAGAGGGTAGAGTAAGCCACTCGAGGTGTGAGGTCTGCAGGGTGACCGTAACACACAAGCTCTCACAGCACAAGCCCTCATGTGGCCCTCACTGTAACCTCTAAGAAGAAGGAAGAGCCCTGCTTCACCAAGAAACCCAGACTCAGAGCTGAACTTGTTCCAAGGCCTCCTAATGCAAACCAGGTGGTGGAGCTGGGGCTTGAACCCTCAATGCAAGCCACCTGCTGTGTCCTGCAGCCTCCAAGCCCAGGCCCACCTCCTCCATTCCTGTCTTCACAGTTCACCGGGGAGGGCTGAGTTCTTTTATTGGAAAACATCTCAGCTTCTGCTCAGGGAAAGGACAGGCCTACAGCAGGAGAGCAGAAACAACCACTGCCTTGGCTATGAACCTGACAATGACCTCCTTAAGGAAACAAACACAAGGGCCACTTCCTAAACTAGCTTGCAATGCTGTTTCTTCCCAGGTCTGCAGGGAAGAGCTGTTCCAGGGCAAATCCACGTTGTTTCCTCTTGGGCCCTCGCCCCTGGATCCCTTCCCTGTTCAGTGGTACCAACGCAAAGAGCAGTGGACCTGCGGTGTGAATGTGGCTCGGCCACTTACCCGCATTATGGTCTTCTCCGCCACAGTTCCCTTGATGTATAAAATGAGACAGACTCCATCACCGGGTCTGCTCTGGGGATTAAATGACACATGCAGAAGAGGCAGGCACAAGCCTAGGCCCATCCATATTAAGAGACATGCGTTCAGTCTGGAAAGCAGGTCTACCTCTCATGCCTCTTCAGAGCCTTTCATCTGCTAATACCCATTGGGCACCCCAGGGTGGGGGTATGCAGTGACACTCACCCTCAGACAGTCTAGACATGTGGCACTCCCCCATTTCTCACAGTGCATCTTGAAGGAGCGCTGCTCAGTGGAATGCTGGGATGTGCTGGCATAGAGGACTCTGAATCGCCCCTTCTGTCAGCCACAGAGGGCACCACTTAGATCTGACCTTCAAGAACAAGTTGCCGCCCAGCTGTGAGGAGTGCGGTTAGCTGGCAGCCCCCAACTGTAGAACCTTCAATCCACCATGGCATTTGCCTGCGCTGAGGCCACACTTCCTGGCGGCCCATCACCAACGACTGAGCATGGAAGGGGGACTAGGGACTGGCCATTTCTCTAACAGGCAGTCTTTGCTCCAGAGCTCCCCAGAACCACCTCCCAGTCTGAGCTCTTGCTGCCAGACCCAGCATCCTTCCCTCCTCCCAGAAGTCCTGTCAGCACTGTGACCTGAACGCTCTCCTAGTCCATTTTTGCTCCTTCACCCTTTATCTTTTACAGGTGATGCCCCAATAAACCTCTTGCACTCCTAACCCCATCTCAGTGTCTGCTTCCTGGAGAACCAAATGACATGTCATGCGGGGTGAGGGACCCTGGTCACGCTGTGGCTCTCGGGAGGCAGAGGAGCTGCTTGAGGTGACTGCCAACAGGGAAGGGGCCTGGGAGAACTGGATACAGGTTGGCCTGCTCCACTGCTGATCTCACCTTCAACTCCGATTTCTTCTCCAAGGCCTTGGCGATGACCTTGGCAGCTTCCACACCCACCGTGTTGCCCTCCAGGCGCAGAGCCTCTAAGCCATCAAAGTCTTCAATCTCTTTAATCACATCTTTAGCTACCCAAGACCAAAGGAAACAACGTTAGACTTTTGGAGTCACAGAACAGGTGAGGCAGGAGAGGGCTTAGCAACCACCTTGTCAGTCATAGACTCCAGAGCTGGTGTGCTGACCACGTGCCAGCCCTGGCTCACAGAGAAGACTCAGACAGGCACCGTCCAGCGGGGGCATAGCTATAGGCGATCCCTCTGGAAGGAGTTAGGCTCAGACAAGGGTGGTGTAACATGCTCAGGAGCCACATGAAAACGGCAACCGGTTGCTTGGGGCTGTCAGAGAAGACCTGGCTGAGTGGGTAGTGTGCAAGGAGGGCGGGAGCATACCAGGTAAAGAGGGGGAAAGGCACCGCAACCAGAGGACCAGCTCACACAATGGCTTTCCTTGTTAAATGATTCATGGGCGGGGGGTGGGGAGTTCATTTCTGTACTATTTTATTACGATGAAAAATTCCAAACAAGCAAAATAGCCCTCAAGAGAAGGTAGGTTATTCACTGGGCTACTATATACAATCACACTGATGCCATGATGACTAGTGACACAGATATTTGACTTGGAAAATATTCATGTTATAGCACCAAAATAAACAATAGTCATATCCGTGGGCTGTGTGAAAATAAGGATGTGGTTTTTACTTCTTTCAATTTTTCTGTTTTCTACAATGAACAGGTATTACTTTTATAATCAGAACAAAAAACACACAAATCACATGAAACAAAACAAAATCTAGTTTGGCTGGCAGAAGATGAAGTCAGGTGACAGGCAGTACGGAGGACGTGGAGCCTGGGACACACAGTTTGTACTTGACCTTTGGGGCTGTGAGGCCCACACAAGGGTCTTGAGAAAGGCTGTGACTTGCAACTAGTAAGGGGCTGACTACAAGCTGTCCTGGCTGGGGGACCTTCCCACATGCTGCATTCTGCCTGGAACTGTCCCCTTCGTGTTTGTACGGGAGTGCATGGTGTGATATGATCTGTACGGCAGCATCGCTTCCTCAAAAGCCCTTGCCCAACCTCCCTGACCAGGTCAAATATCTGCCCCACAGGCTGCACAGCCTCTGGGGACTGTGTCAGGGTTACAAGTGCGTGTGTTTACATGACCAATTTATCATTATATGGTGACTTATTAACACCCATATTCCTCACTGGGCCAGGAGCTCTGTGAGGGAAGGGACTGGGTCTGCCTTCGTTCACTACTATTTCTCTCAGAGATGAGCACATAATACTCATAACACTAACAACAATTTTACAGTTGACAAAAGCATTTTACAAATATTAACTCAGACATTCCCCACCACAACCTACTAAGGTAGCTAGTACTATGTCTGTTTTACAAACGAGTAAACTGAGACACATAGTGAGTGCCCATCCAAGTCACACAGCTAGCAAGTGGTGTCTGGCATCTCATTTTCCATTTCTATTTCACAACAAGGAGGGCTGGGCAGGTATGAGCCAGTCAATTTTCTCAAAGGGGAAACTAAGGTTTTAAGGAATAAAGCAACTCTGTCCAGTTCTGGGCAATGGCAGTGACAGGCTTCAGACTGGTTTTCCGTAACGGAACCTATGTGCTCCTTCCCAAACCCTTGCTTCTGTGACAGCCATGGACTTTACAAGCCCCTTACCCCAGCGGAGAAGCCCCCAGCCTCTCCCTGGCCACATTCTCCTGGGGGCCGCTCTGGAGCTGCAACTCCAGGGTCCCAGTTACCTAGGCCTCCTCTGCAGCTGGTACCCAGGGCAAGGGCTGGTGGGACCTCTCGTCCCCTTGGGAGACCCACTCCAAAAGGGTCCCCGTCTACTGCTCGGGGACGGGCCAGGTCAGCGAGGAGAGAGCACAGCTGCTTAAGGGTATGTGACTCGAGGCATCACTCGATGTGGGCTATATCGGCTACATACGTCCTCAGACCCCTAAGTCCTGTGCTTTCCACATCAGCCCTGGGGAGTCACAGCATAGCCCCAGACTGGAAGGAAAGGCACGAAAATGGAGCGAGTAGGGAGAAGCTCAGGGTTCATAAGCGGGCTTGCCTCTCTCCTCGGGTTTTCAATCCAAATGGACCGATGCATAATTTAAAGACACGATTACTCATGGAACAGGTCACGGATCGGCCCCAATCATTGCTGAATACCCAGCTGCCAGGAGGCTGTCTGGCAGTAATTTCTCCTCTCACCCCGCATGGCCTCAGGGACTAACAAGGCCTGGGTGTTGTTACTCTGCCACAGAAAGCAGAAAAGCCTTTCTTTGGTCCTGAAGTGACTTAGCAGGGAGAGGAAAGGGCCTCATTCTAATTGGCAGCCTTGTGGCCTCCTCACACAAGTGCTCGCCCTCTCCCAACTGCATCGCTCCCTCTCAGCCAAGACCAGGCTCCTCAGCAGTGTATTCAGGGCTCTCCCTGGGCCCCCGTGGGTTCCAGCAACCACCGGATTTCCTGTGCCTTAACTCCCGTTCTCCCTGCCTGGAGTGACCCTGCTCCCTCCAATCCTCCTTCAGGGACAGTTCAAATGCCCCCTCACCCACACAGACTTCCCCCGCCTCATTCCCAGAGCCCTCTGCTCATGTCTCTGAGCATGTTTCCCATTTGGCCTCCGGTTAGTTACGTGGCTACCTCATTCCTACTCCAGGTTAGGAACTCCCTAAAGGCTGGGGCTGTCACTGGGCAACTCTGGTAACCTACGAAAGAAGGTACCCTATGGAGACTGCGCTGGTGAAATGAAGAGGTTATCAGCATGGACTTTAGAGCCAAACAAACTGGACTTCTAATCCCAGCTCCCCAACTTACAGCTGTGCCCCCAGACGAGTCATTTTACTTCCCTGAGCCTCAGTTTCTCAAACTACGAAACAGAAAAGAAACCTATTTCGAGGGCTTTTGTGAGGATAAACTGAGGTACTTTTTGTACGGCACCTAACACCCTGCCTGACAGAGTAAGTGCTCATGAAATGGGCTCTAAAAGCAAGTCTGTGTTTACTGAACTGATAAGAATTTCCACTTCACAGGAGCAGAGGCTCAGCTGGACCTGTGAAAATCCTGGCTTTGCTATTTACCAGCTGTGTGACCTTCAGCAAGCTACTTAAGTCTCCTCCTCGTTTATAACATGGCAGTCTTTTTCGTCATTTGTAACATGGCAACATTTCCACCTACACCCCCAGGACTGATGTAAGGATCAAAGTGGTTGAAGCACAGGGAGGCATCTATATATTTTCAGGCCCCAGAGAGACTGGGAATGTGCATCACCATGCACCCAGCAACCCAAGGACTCCCACCTGGGAGAGGCGAGAAGCCCCACTGTGCACTGATACCCAGGCAAGCCCAGGCCAGCTTCCCTGGTTGAGCCAGAGCCCTGAGGGGCCTCCCAAGCACTGACATAGGCACCTTCACTTCCAGACACCAGGGAATTCTGGGCTGGTTGGTGCCAGGCATGCTTTGGCCAGGGATGGAAAGACAGGGTCTGCACTCTGGTCCCTAGTTCTCTGCAGTCCCAGAGACCTGTGTGCCCACAGGGGCATCCAGTCCTCTCTCCCTCTCCACAGAGGCCTGGGATGGTTGTTTTAATGCAACCTCAGGAGTGTCTCAGCTCTGGGGAAGGTGGCAGATATTCCCAGAGCCACCAGGTGCCATGGGGGAGGAAACAGCACTGGATCTGAAGTCAGAAGGCAGGGGCTAAATCTTGGGACTGCCACTAGCTGTGCCCCTCATTACCATCATCTCCTTCTTAGAGCTAAAGGGCCTTTCCCATCTACCAGCCTAAGCGACAACTGGCAAGGATGCCCAATGCTAGGACATGGACAGGCAGGGAAGCCAGCGTGCGCTCCAGGCAGACCACTGACATCCATGAGCCTCATCATTAGGATAGGCCCAACAACACATACCTCAGACAGCCTGTGGGATGAGTGATGGGGATAACGGAGCTAGAAGAGTATGAGCCCAGTGAGCGTTCATTAGCATACCCTTCCCTCCCAGCCCACGCATTCACTCACCATCTTCTGCAGTGTTGAGTTTGAGGCTCTTGCCCTTGAAACTCAGCTGTCCCCCGGCCACCTGGGTTTTGGCCAGCGTCTCCGCCAGTTTGGCAATGTCTTCGGAGGCCATGCTGGCCACGCTGGCGGGCTCCCCTGGAGATCTGCAAACTGAGAAGGCACAAGTAGCACTAAGAAGGGAGTCTCCTGAGGCCGCTGCTTGAAGGGACAGGATAGGACATCAGCCATCTCAGGGACCTGACCCCATCTCCCCCTCCTATGGAGACCCCAGGAGCTAAAGCACCGGGAGAAATGAAAACAGCATTAGAGAAGTAACAGTTCTAGAAAAGTGGAGGAGGCAGCAAAGAAACAGAAATATCACATCTTAGCCGCTGAAGAGTTGTCACCTCACTACAAGTCCTCCTCTGCCTATTTGCCCAGCTGGGGCCACCTGGCAAAGCCATGTGATCTGCCCCTGTCCTGGGCCCCCAGTGAATGGCAGCTGAGTCCCAGACCAAGGGCTGCAGAGCCTGCCCCAAGCACACACCCGCCTCATCATCTTGGCTGCTGTCTGTTTGAGGGTCCCGTTCCTCAAACAGAACACAGATGGCTAAGGGATCCAGGTCATCCATCCCAAAGAATGCCCCACCACCCACGCTGGCATGACTCTGGGGGTGGGGCACAGGGGTAGGCCCAATGCACGCCTGGTTTCAACCTTGGCCAGGAGACTGGGCAACCCATGGTGGCTGGGCCTCAGGGGTTCCTAGGAGACCAGAGCGCTCTACATCACAACAGCCATCATCACAATAGGCTAGGGACACAGTTGCTGGAAAAAGGAGCCTCCAGCCTGGAGCTCAGGAGACTGGCAGAAAGGACAACTCCACTTCCCCAAATAAGAAATGACAGGTAATCAAGGGGAACCAAGGAAGAGAGCTGATACAGGAGACAGAATTAGGAGGTGCCTATTGAGAGACTCCTACCCAGAACTCCTCCCCCAATCTACTCATCCTCAAGACACAGATATAAGAACCCCCCAATCCTCCCACTCCCCCAGGCTTTCTCCAGGCTCAAAGAGCTGCTTCCCACTCCTTTCTCCTGATCTGAATCCTCATTACCCTGGTTTATCTGTGTCTGCTTGTCTTTATCAAATAAATTCAGTTTATTCTTCTGGATTTAAGCATCCACTCATTTATTCAACAAACATTTATGGATTACTACTCTGTGTTAAAAGGAGACCTGGTGGCACAGTGGTTAAGCACTCAGCTGCTAACCAAAAGGTCAGCAGTGGTTCGAAGCCAGGCTCTGCAGGAGAAAGATGTGTGGTAGTTGGCTTCCGTAAAGATTACAGTGCTGAAAACGCTATGAGGTGGTTCAACTCTATCCTATACAGTTGCTATGAATTGGAATTGACTCCATGGCAACTTTATTTTTTTTTTAACTCTGTATTGGACATGGTTCCAGGTACCAAGAGGACAGCAGTGAATAAGAGGCAGAAAGTCTGCCCTTGTAAAGCATATATTCTAAATAAGACATTTAGTATGTTAGTGATAAGAAAAAACAAGGAAGCGAGTAAGTAGTATTTTTGCAATTTAAAGCACAATGGTTAGGGAAGGTATTGTTAGGAAAAAACAATTAAATACGATCTGAAGGCTAGAGGGATTGCACCCTGCAGATATCTGGGGGAAAAGCATTCCTGCAAAGGGAACAGCAAACACAAAGGCTCTTGGGGGGCGAGGGAGAGAGGGGTGTTAGAGGAACTGCAAGGAGGCTCTTGGGGCTGAGCAGTGAGGGAGGGAGACAGGAGGTAAGAACAGGAGGTCCAAGTCACAAAGGCCACGGACTGTGGTTCTTGGACTGTGGTTCTTACTCCAAGTCACAAAAACCACTGGGAGTTTCTAGCAGAGAAACATGAGGGACACGATGTGACCTTCCATACGTTTTGACAGGATCACTCTATCTGCGGTTTAGGGCCTGGCCTTTAGAAGACGTTCAAAGAATGTCTGGCTGAAATTGAAAAAAAATTACCACCACCACCTCTTGCAGTGCTGAGATGGGGCAATTTGAGGCTGGAAGCTTGGTGGTGGGGCTTTCAGATGGAACAGGGACACAGAACTTCTCAGCTGGAAGGGGGCTCACTTCCAAGTCAGTCGACCCCTCCCATCCATTCTAAAGACGGAAAAGAAAAAAAAATGGAAGCACAGAGAGGTGAATTGATTTGTTCAAGGTCAGCAAGGGGTCAGCAGCATAGCCGAAACCAACAGTAAATACGAAAACAGCTGCCTTCCTTCTCGGCGAGTGCACAGGGACTTTCTCAGGTGCACATGCATCGCTCACGCAAAAGCGCTAGCAGTGACTCACACCGATCCCCGGGGGCTGCATCGCCCTCCACGGGGCGTGGGCCTATGGGGAGGCAGCGACGGGGGAGCGACGCACGAAAGCAGGCCTTCAATGACAGGCGAGCAGCATGGGAGCCCCACCCGGGATCCTAGCGGACACGCACTACCTCCAGCTGCCACCGACGCCACTGCTGGCAGCTGCGGGCTGGACGCCTCGGGAGAGTCGGACATCCTCTCTGAGTCTCAGCTTCCCCCTTTGTGAAAGGGGCCAGCGCCCCCCGCCCCACCTCACCTCTGCGCTTGGCCGTCGCCAGCGCGAAAGAGAGGACCGAGTGGGTACCACACTGTCCTCGCCTAGTTCCAAGGCCGCCCTGTCGCCCCTCTCCCATCCCAAGCAGGTGACTGGGAAAGGAAATGAGCCCCGACCCTACCGTAAACAGGCGGCGCCGCCGTGTGAGGCGACCCGAGCGCGCGCGTCAGCCCGGCGGGGCTGGGACGGATTTAGGGTCCGGGTCAGGTCAGGTCGGGGTCGCCGCCTCTAAGTCCTGGGGTCTCGATGCCCAGCCCGCTCGTCCGTCCGCTCTCCCAGAGCTTCTCGCCACTCACGTCTCCGACACCACCTGCTCCCCACACGGCAAAGGATGATGGCGGAGGAGGAGGATTTTGAAAGCCGGCAGTTTCTTTCCTTCGATTTGATTTGTTCGAGGCTCAAGCCGGCTTCCCCTTCCCCCGCGCGCGTGACCTATCGGGTAGGGTAGTCCAGTTCTCCTGCGTGGGTGCGGCGGGCGCGGCAGGAGCGGGCACTACGAACTACCAGTCCCAAGATCCACCGCGTTCCACAGCGGGGGAGGGGGGAGGGGAGCCTCCTCTCCTTTTTCCCCTCCCATTTCGGCTTCTGGTTCATTCTCCAAGAGACCACAGGGCGGCGCTTAACCGGGAGCTCCCAGGGAGACTACAATTCCCTTCATGCCTTGCGGCTGGGCCCTGTCAGCCTTTCTTTTATTGACAAAGGCTAGGGCTGCCAGAGGCACGCTCCTGGATCTTTTCAGCAACAAATAGGTATCCATTTCTTGAAAGGAGAGACTCGTCTTTTTTGTCCCATAAAATTGAAGGGACATTCGGAGCCTTTCACATAAATGCCACAAGTTATTAAGTAATTAAAAAGGGGAAATAGGATCTGTATAGGAGAGAAACGGCCGACACCACCTTAAGCAAGTGGTCCACGTTAACATCAAACCGGACAAACTGACCTCATGCGACTCTCATGTGATGCAGAGACGGACACAGCATCACCATCCTGTCAACAACGCATAAAATGAATCTAATCATGAGGAAACATCAGACAAACCAAAACTGAAGGACATGCTACAGAGTAACTTCTGTATTCTTCAAAAAATGTCTATGTTATGAAAGGAATAAAAAATGAGAAACTGTTGCAGATTGTAGACTAAAAAGACACAACTAAATACAATAAGTGGTTTTGGATTGGAGTCTGGAAGGGGGGGAGGGGGAGTGCTATAAAGAACACTGTCTAGACAATTAGCAAATTTTGACTGTATATTAGATAATAGTATTGTACCAAGGTTAGATTTCCTGCTTTTGATTATTGTACTGGGTTATATAAGTGCAGTACAGTGAATTACTTAATATGGTCCTTCTAGCCATAGTCTTTGTAACTCCCACCAAATGACTAAGTGGAACTAGACAAATGAGATGCTTGCAGCCCACCAAGGGGATTGAATAGCTTGCTAATAATGTAAATAAGGTGCGTGGCACCCTTGTAGTGGTGGGACCATGCAAATATGGTGTATGGAACCCTAAAGAGGGGATTGGTCAGTTTTGCCATCCTGCTAGACTTAAAATGAGCCATCCCAGAGGTGGGAAGGCAGGATCTCACCACCACCAAGAAAGAAGAGCCAAGAGTGAAGCACGTCCTTTGGATCCAGGATCCCTGCACAGAGAACCTCCTAGATCCAGGAGACAGAAAGCGCTGTAACACCCGGAGATGGTGGCAGCGAACCAGCTGCAGCAGAACCAGGAGACCGGCAGGAAACAGCACGGTGAGCTTCCTGGCCCACAGACTAAGATAGCACAGCACCTTCAGGCAGAAGCTTACTGGCAGGCTGGGGTGCCTCCGGGCACTTATCAGCAGAGCTAAAAGAGGTTTGTAACACTTGCCCCAGCAGGGCAAAGGCCAAGGGTCAAAGAGAGGCCTGCCTGTGGGCACAGCCGAGGAGCTATCCTGAACAAGGAACTATATCCTGAGTCGTTCCTGATCCTGAATTGTAACCTGTTACTTCCCTAATAAACCCCATAATGTATGGTCTGTGAGTTCTGTGTGGCCACTGCAAGGAATTATCCAACCCAGCAGAGAAGTAAGAGAGTGCCGTGGGAGGGACGGTTGGCGTTAGAATTGGTAAGAAGGTTGGAGAGTGGAGGCATATCTGACCACTGCCTCATAGGAATCAATCTTGTGTTGTTGATCTTGATTTGCCTTCACCCTCGTGAAGTTAGAGGTCAGACACCCTGCCACACCATTTTTACAGGAAGAGATTGCCCATGTTCTTGGGAAATATATGCTGAAATAATTAAGGGCAAAGGAACATGATGTCTGCAGCTTATTCTCAAATGGTACAGAAAAAGAAAAAATATATATATACATACATGTAAACAGAATGATAAATGTGGCAAAATATTAAGTGAATCTGGGTGAAGGGTATATGGGAGTTTTTTTAATGTTTTTGCAATTTTTCCGTAAGTTTCAAATCATTTAACCACAAATAGGTTTGGAATAGATTTTTTTGAAAAACAAATAGATTTTAACCATTATATAGGTAACATGGGGGTCCTAGTAGTACAGCAGTTAAGAGCTCAGGCTCCTAACCAAAAGATCAGCAGTTCGAATCCACCACCTGCTCCTTGGAAGCCCTATGGGGCAGTTCTACTCTGTTCTATGGGGTCGCTATGAGTTGAAATCGACTCAACGGCAATGGGTTTGGTTTGGTTTATAGATAACATATGTTCGTTATAAACAAGTCAACCAGTATAGAACAGGATAAAGAAAAAAGTAACTAGGGCTTGAAACTCTAGTACAAAAGATAATCTGTTGCAGCCTACTTTTCCAGTGTTATCGCTCAAAACCCTGTTCACACACACGCTTTCACTTTACCAGCAATTTAGAGTTAAACAGATCATGCGCCAGATCCTTTCACAAGCAGCTAATTTAATCTTTACAATCACAAAGGAAGTGCAAATCATTACCACACTTCAAAGGCAAAGACATGAAGAAACTGAAGTCCAGACCTAATGTGACTTTAGGTACTAGTTCACGCAGCTACTGAGAGGTGGCACCTGCCCTATAGGTCCCTTTCCACGACATTACATTGCCTGCTCTCCCTCTCCTTCTCTGTCTGTAAGGTCCATATCAAAGGGCACCTCACCCAGGAGGCCTTCATATGCCACTCCAGCCAGAATTAGCCTTGCCGTCCTCTGGGACCCCACAGCAGTTAGCTTTCTCATGGTCAGACTTAACAGTATTCTTGACGATTTCCTCCCCAGCCTGCAAGGGCCTCAGGACAGGCACTGTATCCATCCTGGCAGCATCCCCTCTGGGCCTGACCTGTCACAGATGCTTGGGGTTTCCTCATTTGAACCGGATTCCAGTCAGGGTCACTGGATGTTTGCTTAAAATGAGTCATCATCAGAGAAGGCAGAGACACTCCCAATTAGGCTCGAGGCCTGTGTGATTCCAGCTTAAAAGAAAAAAAAAACAAATACAAATCAGTTGCTGTGGCATCGACTCTAACTCATGGTGACCCCATGTGTTTTAAAGTAGAACTGTGCTCCATAGTGTTTTGAATGGCTGATTTTATGGAAATAGATCATAAGGTCTTTCTTCCAAAGTGCCTCTGGGTGGACTCAAACTGCCAGCCTTTCAGTTAGTAGCCGAATGAGTTAACCGTTTATAACACCCAGGAACTCCTGATTCCATCTGTCGTTGTTAGGTGCCATCTGGTTGGTTCTGACTCATAGCAACCCCATGTACAACAGAACAATACACTGCCTGGTTCTGCGCCATCCTCATAATCCTTGCTAAGCTTGAACCCATTGTTGCAGACACTGTGTCAATCCATCTCATTGAGGGTCTCCTCATTTTTGCTGACCTTCTACTTTACTAAGCATGATGTCCTTCTCCAGGGACTGGTCCCTCCTGATAATATGTCCAAAGTACATGAGACAAAAGTCTTGCATTCTTGCTTCTAAGGAACAATCTGTCTGTACTTTTTCCAAGACAGATTTCTTTGTTCTTTTGGCAGTCCATGGTATATTCAATATTCTTCACCAACACCATAATTCAAACGCATCAATTCTTCCTTGGTCTTCCTTATTCATTGTCCAGCTTTCCCATGCATATGAGGAGATTGAAATACCGTGGCTTGGGTCAGGCCCACCTTAGTCCTCAAAGTGACATCTTTGCTTTTTAATACTTTAAAGAGGTCTTTTGTAACAGATTTGCCCAGTGCAATAAGTCATTTGATTTCTTGCCTGCTGCTTCCAT